GTGAAAGAAGAGTCATACTCTCTTGAACTCAGGAGTAGCATAAGAAAAAGATAGTTTTCATTTAAAAGGTCATTTGTATCACTGAAGAGAATATAGGGGAAGAAATATGTTTGTCAATGGAAGCAACAAATTAGAAATCTAACAGAGTCCTGCTTCTGGTTTCAAATACTGACTCACACATAATTATTATGGTAGTTCATGATTTACTCAATGTCAAAGAGATGACAGTTCAAACTTTGTCTGAAGTTTTGTTTTAATGGGAGCATGCAGAAGAATAGCCCCCAAATCAGTCAAATATTCTAGGAGCGGAGTCAGGGCTGACAGCCAGTCCAGTCAGATTTTCACAAGCAGAAACCCCACAAATGTCAGGCAAAAGTCAGATATTAGAGGTTACTTCCAGCAAAGGAACATGGTTCAGAACTGCCTCTTGAATCATGTAAATCATGAGATTTACTCCCTTACTTTGCAAGAAACCTCAACAAACACCTCTGATCTGCTCTCCATTCTATTCACTGGGTATGGGAGCTGGGTGGTGTTACATGATCCTCACCTGACTAATACAGCTGTTTTCAGATAATGTTTAGTTTTGATCAGCCTCATGTGATTCTTGACTTTATCTCTCCTGAGGTTGATATTCCATTAGGTCAGCTGGAACAGCTTCTTAAGAATCAGATTCAAAGTCTAAGGCCTGGGCCATGACACACAGCACTTTTCCCAATTAACAAAATTTATTAGAGAAAAGCTATATTAAATAATATTTTGCTAATTTAATGACCTTGAACAGCCTCATTCATGACTCTACATCATTTCCAATATGATGTAATCAATACCCCTGATAATTCTATAAAAGTTTTCTTTAAAATGCAGGATTGAGAGGTCCTCCCGCACTCCCAATATAAAGTGTACAAGTTCCATCCAGGAGCAAAGTAGTATCAAATAATTGCTTCAAATAGGATGATGATAGCCCCAATAGAGATTATGGTAGCAGCAACTCTACCTTTGGTGCACTTTGCCTGGATATTTGCATAAACATAACATACATAAGGTTACCAGATTTGGGCTGCAAAATTCTGGATGATCGCTAGACATTGTAACCAGAGGAGGGTTACTCCCGGTTCAGACCAGTTTGGTCAAACCGGTAGTGATAATTTGGTCTGGGTCACAGAACTGGCAGCAACCCAGGTCAGCTACACCCCCAAACCAGTTCCCTGGTCTCTTCTGCTGTTGCTGGCATGTTTCTCCACATGCTCAGAACAAATTTTAGTCAACTGAGCATACGCGAGCAATGCGTGGTACATGTGTGAAGCGAACCAGTACCAACTGGTACAGGAACCCACCTCTGCTTGTAACCCTTCACTGCCAACATTACTTTGCTATGACCCTTTACTGCAAATGTCTTGATTTCTCCAACTCAAATCTGAAAGTCTCAATAATTTCTGCTTTGATTCAGAGACTGATAAAAACTTTATCAATATAATTAAGTCATAACCTAGTTCATTGTAGTAAGATACTGTGCAACAAACATGCTGAATTAACACTGGTATCAGTTCAGCCTTTGGATTCTTCTAGATCAGGAATGGGGAACCCTTTATGGATCAGAAATATGGCCCCTTTATGACCTGTGGACTTCAACTCCCAGAATTCCTGAGCCAGCATGGTTCCTGTTCAGTTCCCCACCTGTGTTCTAGATGACGGCAACTAAGTGCTGAGACTTCAAATAACACATGTCAATGCATTGAATATGAAACACTCAAGAGACAATCTCTAATTCTGCCTTTTGGATAATCTGAATGAGTATCCTTTTAGTTCATTTTCTTTTCCTCTGAGTATTCTTTGGTCTATGGACACCATTTGAATAAGAGCTGTACAATGTTAAACAACTTTTAGAACATCTAATACTTTCTACAAATCTGTAATTGACCGTACTTGGAAAACAGCTACAGCTTTTCAACTGGTGTTGCCTTTTGGCTAGCCTCTCTTTCAGACTAATGGAAGGATGCAGACAAGCAGATTCTAAATTCGCCTTCGTGCTGTGGTTTAATACTGATTTTGAATGAATTATTCAGAACCTTTTTGGTTTGGCACCTTGTTCTGTTGACACTGTTTTGGTTATTGAATTTATTTCCTGATGTACCAAGTGTGACTATTATTTTACAGTGGTGTATAAAACACTGAAGAGGGCCAAAATAAACAGGATGGTGTTTAGTGCGTTTCCTAATGACAGAAGGCAGCTGCTGGAATAAATATTGCGCTACATGTAGCATGCTGGAATGCAGGAATTAAACATTTGATATTTAATAATTTCATTTATATGATAGCCTGCAGCTTTTTTGCAAGGGGTCGGGGAGGCTTTTATCGTGTGAGAGGGAGTGCCAAGTTTCCAATTCAGAATATGGAAAAAGTAGTACAGAGAATAGATATATTATTCACTGCCTGAGGCATAATCTCTTTCTACCTATGGCCCCTACCTTGGTAGATGAGGAAGGAGTTTTCACATGCCGTATTGGTTTTCTCACCTGCCTATTGTTAACTACTGTAATTTTCGGACTATAAGACGCACCGGTGTGTAAGATGCATCAAGATTTTGAAGAGGTAAGTAAGAAAAAAAAGTTTTTGTCATCTCCAGCTCCCAGGGGCACTCTGCAGGCTTCAGCAGGGCTGCAGGAAGGCAAAAATGCCCCCGTTTTGTGAAAAACGGGCAGAAAACAGGTCATTTTTTTGCAAAATCTGAGGTATTTTTGCCTTCCCCTAGCCCCCAGCAGCACTCTGCAGGCTTCAGCAGGGCTTGGGGAAGGCAAAAACGTCTCCATTTTTGTGAAAATGGTCTGTTTTTTGCAAAAATGGGGGCATTTTTGCCTCCCCCTGCAGAGTGCTTCTGGGGCTGGGGGAAGGCAAAAGTGCTTCCATTTTTGCAGGAAAACAGCCCGTTTTTCGCAAAAATGGGATGTGGGGGTAGGTCTTTGGGAGGCCAAAAATGGCTGTATTTGGTGTATAAGCTGCACCAACATTTCCACACATTTTAGGGGGAGAAGTGTGTCTTATACTCTGAAAAATATGGTAAATATGTCTGTTTTTAGGGGGCAAAAAGGAACTTTCTGGTAATCTCTATCTCTCTCTTTCTCTGTTTTTTAGTCAAGATAGTTTAGAAATGAAGCTTTCCTATCCAATATCTTTCTTTTAAAAACCCAACTTTTACTTAAAAGCCTAATAAATGTCTGCCAGCATTCATAGATAGCTGGTTTAAGGCATACAGTTGTCTGTATCCAGGGAAACTATATTATGAGCTTTTATTTATTATTTTTAAGTGAGAACTACTGCTACTTAATTATCCAGTATTATTTTAGTATTCTACATTTTCTTCTACTTCGGAGCATATAGTCTAATAATGACTGGTGTCGGGTTGAAAGTGTCCAAAATTATTTTAAATGTAAATTTTGGTTTATTTCATTATTTTTATTGTTTTATGGCTGTTTTATTTATTGGTGTTATTGTTGCTTATGATGGACAGCCATATAAATCTTTAAAATAAATACATAAATCTAGCCTGACTAAAATAGCTGCCATGGTCTCTTTTAACTTACTTATTGGGATACCTGGGTTTGTTAGTTAAAATATTTTTAAACAAATAAATAGTTTTATGATGATCTTTAGCTTTTTTTTGACAGGGGGATTGTCATCTACAGGCTCAGTCACGTTTTATTTACAAAGACTACCATCACTTTTTAGGTGTCCATGGCCAACATCAGCCCTAATACAGAAAGACTCATCTGAAAAGAAAATTGCCTAGATACAAATTACTCCAAAACTTTATAAAAGTCAGCTATTGACAATAGAAAAATTCAAAAGCTCACTGTGCCCTTTTCCGCTTGAAGATTGTAATTCATGATACTCACATCCATGAGAGCCTTCATTCTCATCTCAAAATACTCTTCAAAGATGAAAAAATAGGACAATTTGTATATGTTTGGATTTGTATAATGGGATTAAAAAGATGTGCTAAAATACTGACATAGATTACATTATACCTAATTCCCTAATGTAAATAGAACCACAATAACATTACTTCAGAAAAGAACTCTTCTTAATTTATAGTATCTGCTTCCTCCATCACCAATTCTTTTTACCATTCCATATGCATAAAAAAAGTTAAGAAGGAACCAAAGTTAGGAAGGAACCAAAAAGACCAACACTCAGATAAGCAAGGATTAACATCAGGCAAACAAGCAGAAAACAATATCCTAATTGAGGAACTACAAAGGGGGGGAACCACACACCCATCAACACTGGCATATACATACACATACATACATACATACATACATACATACATACATACATACATACATACATACATTCTCTTCTGTCAAAATGGTCCATTGTTTGACTGGATAACCCATTGTTTCCTTTTTCAAATGCTCATTTGATAGTTTTGATTCTATTGGTATCATCAGGAGAAGTAGTACACAATTGGCAATAACCAATAGGCACTTGGGCAAAGTTTAACATTCTGATGGGAATTACAATTACTAAGATGAGGAATCGAGTTCATTATAAGCATTCTACAATTTGTCAGTGCCAAAGTATACACTGCAGTGAATCTTAAGATGACACGGACAGATTCCACAACTGTTCTGTTGTTCTGATCTACATAATTAGAATATGTATTCATCAATCGGAGATACACTTCAACAAGACTTCTGATTGAGATAATTTATAATTCCTGGTACATGTTTTTCCTAGACATTGTTCTCTAGCTTCTTTGTTTCATGGAATATTTAGTATGAGAATTGAGGCCCATTGTTACAGGACATATTTGATGGGTGAAAAATAGGGGAGGATTTTTTGAAAGAAATATTAATATATATGGGCTACTTTCTAATCCATTAAGTTGGGTGGACCACTTGTATGAGAGATTGATTCAATGTTGGCATGCTTAATAGGATTTCTAAAAATGGTTTCCTGACCTAAGATCAAATAACATTAGCATATTATGACTTTAGGTACTCCATGAGCCTCTGATTGATGAAGATCCAGTTTTCATTGCCACCTGCACAGAGCGAGAATTACGCAAAAGAAAAAAACGGAAATTCAGTCTCTGGGTACGGCAGTGCTCATCAACCGGTTTTATATGCCAGGTAAGTGCCAGAACAATGGATTGCTAAGTTCCAAGCCACCATTTAAATTTAAAGAAGCTGTGTGATCTGATGTCACTTTCAGGAGACTTCTATCCTACATAGAAAAAGAATATAGATCCAAGTTTATAGACATGTGATTCATACCCAGTTGAAGTTTCCCCCCCAATATTGACTAGGAAGTTTTTTAGTGAAATTTCCCTAGCAACAGATGACTACATACAGCATGTATTGAAGCAAGAATAGTTCTAAGACAGGGCTGTCAAACTGATGTGCTGGCCACACCTATACCTGGTTTAGCAAAGGGGGGGAAAGTCCTGATATGTCACATGACACCACCGTGACAACCTGAGTTTGACACCCCCTGTTCTAAGAGATTTCATTGTCATGGCGATGCATAAACCACTGCTGCAACCTTCCTTTCAAAATGTATCTTTTAGGGGCTAATCTCCGAGTACAAAATGATGGATGCTATTAAATTCCATTCAGCTGTGTTAGTTCATGCTATGGCTTTGTCAATTTGATGGAGTGTAGCAATTTACTTCCATTGAGATCTGGCAATTTTCTTTTAGTATCCAATCCTTCCATTGGGTTTTCTCCCAAGTGAACATTACGTTATCCATAGGAAGTTGTAACTTCCCATTCTTTTTTATTCAATTAACTGGGTCAGGAGGGCATGGAAATATTTCTCTTAATTTCATTAAGAGGTTCTTGTGCATTGAAAGAGCAGGATATAATTTTTTAAAAATATAAATAAATGTAAATAAATTTCTCCTAAACTCAAGAGGTAGGCCAACAACTCCTGCTATTTCTCCAGGAAGCCCTTCCTACTATCAGTTTTGTCCATTGCTACATATATATTTGGACTCAGTTATCAGTAATGATGAGTGCACTGTTGGCAGACCTGAAAGAACAGTTTGGGATAGATTGTCATAGAGAAATGTATTTACTTGGTTGCATGAAATGGAAAACAAGTTGATCAATCAATCAACCAACCAACCTAAATAATCAATCAATCAATATGTTTGTTTGACGTGGAGGGCTAAAAGGTAGCAAATTCATATTGTAGGAAAGTTTGGACTTGATTTATAATGGACCATAACTTCCTGGACTGGTATTTTGAAATTCCCCCCTTTAACCTTCTGAAATCTGTCATGATCACCGGTTCACTTGTTTATTGCATTTATATGTTTCTTTCTCTCTAGGATAAACTGGTTCCCAAAGGTTATTCCTATCATAATCTAACCAGGTTATTCCTATTATTCTCACAATAATTTGGTTATTCATAGAAGTCATAGAATCATAGTGCAGGAAAGGAGCTTGGAGATCTTCTAGTCAAAAACTCTGCTCAAGACAAGACCAGAACTGGAACCACTAATGCAGTATAAAGCGGTACTATTGCTTCTTGGGATCTTGATGTTATCTCTCTGTTGATGCAGCCTAGGATTGGATTGACTTTTTTGGCAGTTGCAGCACATTGCTGGCTTATGTTTAAAGGACTGTCTATTAGGACACCTCAATCCTTCTCACAGTTACTACTATTGAGCCAGGTACTGCCTATTCTATACCTGTGCATTTGGGGTTTCCTGCCTAATTTTTGGACCTTACTTTTCTCACCATAGAACTGCATTTTATTGGATAGGCCCCATTGCTTAAGGTTACTTTAGGTAGCTGTTGTGGCCCAGCAGGAGCCGTTGGAGCTGCAAACAGACTCCGATAGTGAGGGGCCCTATGAGTCAGCTCTGGAAGATGTGGAGGACCCTGGACAGGGTTCAGACTCTGAGCAGGGACCAGAGAGACTGGTTGGTCACCAGGAGGCACCTGAGGCATGGAGCAGTGGTGAAAGCCAAAGGGATTGCACCCATGATGTCAGTCCCTGGAGCAGTGGTGAAGACGTCAGGCCTTGGAGCAGTGGGGAGGAGCTAAGGGAGTTGGTTCCGGATGCCAGGCAAAGGCAGGCAGATAAGCGACAACAGCAACCACGCAGATACAGAAGATAATTTGACCCAGGTGGCTGTAATCAGGCTCCTCCCAAGAGTGTATATAAGGAGATACTTTGGGAGGAGGCTGTTTGCAGGATTCAACTAATATACCAACGCTGGAGAAGCTCTCGTGTGTATTTCTTATCTTGGAAGTCTGGATTGCTGCCAAAGTCTTGTCGGTGTGTTAATTTACTGTGAATAAATCATCAAGCAGTAATCTTGTCTCAGAGTGCCTCGGAGGGGGGCGGTCAGAACAGATAGCTTAGGCCGAGAGGAAGTGATCATGAGTCCAATTTCTTCAGTTTTGGTCCAGGATTTCCATCATGACACCACACTGTAAGTTGTTTCCTACCCCAGCATTGATCTCAAATATTTATAGGGTAGCTTCATACCCTTCATTGTAAGATTAAGTAATATTAGGTTTCATCCATGGGGGGGAAAGACATAATAAAGCAGTTCTCATGCTACATGGGCAAAAGAGACAAATGAAATTACATGTATCACAATGTTATGGCACACATTGTTCAAATTAATAATGTAATCTGTTATGTTGTTACTGATGCAAATTCCATCAGTTGTGTTATTTGTATGATGAAATCTTAAAGCATGTGACTTTATTGTGGCTTGAAGCAAATGCTTATGTGAGTTGAGCATGCAGAGAGATGGGGAGCTGACTAGTAAGTAACAGGAAAGCAGATTCTGGACTCTCCAATTTTATTGTTTATTTCATCCAGTCCCTTGAGCATTAGGGACAGGGGTCGACAATAAAAACAGACCTTTTAGAATTTCAGCAATCCAAAGGAAGAAATCGAAGTAACTCTCAGAATAAAATATCTAACCAAGGAAGTAAATAGATTTGGTTGCAGTAGTTTATTTATTTTATTGATTAAGAAAATTTATATGGCTGTCCAACTCACTTATGATGACTCCAACCAGCTTATAGAAATAAGAGCCCAATACAAAAATCCAATAAATCCTCACCCCACTGTCAACAGCAATCAAACCAACTACTTGATGGGTTCCACATCACCCTAGGGTCCTGCTAGGCTTGTTGTCCATGCTTGAGGCCTGTTCTCCTGTCTCAATAAGCCTTCTGGCCTCAGAATATCAGCCTCTCCCTACTTGAGTGGTCTCTGGTCTCCTCCTTCCTTCTAAGTAAGACTTTGTAGCATGAGGAACCAGCTCTCTTTCCTACCTGGGTAATGAGCTCAGTCCTGGCCAGGCAACAGGGAAGGGTGAGAAAATTTATTTATACAGGCTTAGTCAGGCTTATCTAGCAGAGCACTTTCTCTGTAGGCTTCTCTTTGTCCTCCTCTGGCATCTGCCACCTCCTTCAAGCTTCTTCTCCAACTCTCACATCTGCCTTTCCTTTGGAACAGCCTTTATGCTTAGCAAGCGCTGAGTTTGCAGGCATCCATTATTATACTTACAAGGAAATATATGTCATACTTACAAGGGAGCCGGTGTTTTCCCTTCCCCACACTGAATTATTATGAAAGCATGTTTTTTTTATTTAAGCAATGTGAAGTTTTGCTTTGCATGGCACAGGACAAGGACTATTGATGTTAAAGCAAATCTGGCAAAAATGTAGCCATTTCAAATATACCAGGCTGTAATGGTCATTTATGTTCTTTTCATCCTATACATCACCCAAATGTCAGGTCAATGAATGTGGGTAGCATTCAGCACATCATGGCATCAACCTCAACAGCGTGAACAAAGGAAGGCAATTGACAGAATTGTGTTGGCTTTCAAATAATATTCACAATAATCTCAAGAGCTTTTGTTTATCAGCGTCTTGAGAGTACTTTCTTAACCTTAGAAAAGAGTCACGTAGGAAAGGATTTCTATGAAGTTTTGAAATGAATACGTCAAAGCATGAACCATGGTTGCAATGACAGATGTGGGACTTTTTTTTCTCCCCAGTGACTATATACTTAAATGCATATTTGACTCTATGTTGATGACCTCCTGGGAGCATTTATACAAAGGCCAAGTTGAAGTCAACCACTTATTTGGAGACTGCCTGCTGTTCTGTGCAGGAAGAAAACAATAATTTCCTCAGCATTGTAAAAGAAGCTTTAGCTGCGGCGAGAATGATTAGTCTTAACCAGAGATATAATTGAATTAAATGAGAAGAAATTGTACTATCTCTGCTGCTATCCTTATGTGGGCATATTCCCCAAAAGGAATTTGTAAAAACCTAATGTTAAAAGAAATATACTTGCAGTGGATATTTTGTAGTTACCACAAGTATCTTGTGACTATCAAGCCATTGCATTAAACCATTATATGATGTACTCTTTTGGACATGATATAATTAATAAATCTAGGATTTTGTGTATCACATGAAGTGAGTTCCTCTGTGCCCCAAGCTATCATCACCCATTGAGGAATACTTGCCTTATTTAGTAGTAGCTCCATCCCATTGATGAAAGGATAGAACCTTCAAATTGATCTGACATGAAACTGACATTTGTTACCCTCATATTAGACATTCATATCCTTGTGATCTGGTAGCTTTCAGTTGCCTGTTTTGGGTCTCAAGAGAATCTAATTATATAACTGTGTAATGACAAAGACTTAGCTTGTCTGCATAGGAAGAATAAAGTTCAGAATTTGGAATTTAGAACCCTATTGTATATCCTTGAAGCTGCAAAAAAGGTACTCCTTGAGAATTTGGGATACAGTCCCAGATGTTCCCACTGAATTGCACATACTGAAGTTGCAGTGGGTCAAATTATTAACTACAAGGGAATAATAAGCTTGCCTGTATTTAAACTACAAACTAACTAACTAAATAAATAAATGAATGGCAAATGGCTACTAAAATAAAATCTCATTTTGGTCCTGTTATGCCCATCTTATCCTCCTTTTTGGCATGTTGTGCTTCAGTGTATAAATCAAAGTCAAGGGCACTTTTCAAGTCATAAAACAATGCCCATCCCTGCTTTCAACATCAAATAAGAGTAACAGTGCAGGATAATAGGTAAAAGTCATTTGATCTGCTTTTGAAAGTGAACTGGTCTAATTTTGATCGAATATATGAATTTAGTTAACTCTCTAAGAAAGAGGACAAACTTTCAGGCAGACATCAAGCTTAGAATTCCCAACTGGATATCTTCTAGATGAGTCCACTGTTTCTGTCTTCTGTCTTACAGCATGTAAATTAATGCTGGGTCTAATTCTGTTCTTTTCCACTCAATAAATCTTTCACTCTCTCTTTTATTCCTGATTTTTTTTTCACAAGAAGTTAAAGAAATGTTTAATTTTGGAAGAGATGATCAGGAGGATTCTGTTTGGTTTGCCTTTCTTCTCATTTGATTCATGTTCTTACAAACATATGATGGTCAGGGTTCCAAGTAATATACTGTACCCAAAGCAAACAGAACTCTAAAACAGGTAGATTCCTCAAAGAATAATTTTATTGGATATATCATATTGGCACAGGCTGGTGAAAACTGACTCTGAATGTTCCTGCAGTTTTCACTTAATTAAAATGTGAAGGTTTTTTTCCCTTCCCCAAACAATCATTCACATGGTCCAATCAAGGTGTCGTCCGGTTGCCTGGTAACTTCAATCCTCCTCTCTCTGACCACCTGTGGGAATGTTCTTAGTTCCCAGGAGAAAGCATTTTGTTTTGGCCACAAAACCCCAACTATCTCTATTCCCCCCTCCCTATCCTTCAGCTCCAGTGTGGCAACACTGAAGCCTCAAAATGGTCTTGGCCATCAACTTAAGGTTGACAACGATTGCTTCCTCTGGAAAGTTGCTCTTTTTCTTCCTATAGTTAAATTAACTCTCTAGTAAGAAGAAGGAGAATATGATGTTATCATATATGTTCACAGGGTCTTTTTTAAAAGAACAAAAGAAAACAAAAGACTAAAAGATACCTTAGGCTATTTCCATTGGATGTAATAAAGTCATGCCACCTTTTATTTTTCCTGAACTCTCTCTGTTCAGTCTGTCTAAATAAGTGCTCAGTTCTGTGCATTTGTTTTGCTCTCCTGTTGCTTTTGTCCCTTCCTTGTGTAAATGGAGGGAAAAAAACAAAGAAAAACAGTGAACACATTGACTATTATAACCTGCTCTACAGTTTTAAATGATTAGTTGCTATTCTATCTGTGTTGGACAAGAATAAACAAATTTTCTTGCTTATGCTTTTATGGTTTGATTGTTGTTTTAGTACCTTTGGGTCAATTTGAGCTCCTGGCTATTGCCTGAATACAGTGACGTGTGGTGAGGTTTATGGCTGGTGAGGCAGTCCTCTCCCCCGACACCCCACTGACTAAAGCACTTTCTTTCACCCGCCTGAGCTCTGCCGCGAGCACAGGCAGGTGAAAGAAAGTGTTTTAGTCAGTGGGGTGTCATGGGAGAGGAGAGAATGCCTGAGCATTGCATTTATTAAAGAAAAAAGAAAAAAAAGGAAATTTGAAGGAAAAGAGGGAGTGTGGTGTGGGGGTGGGGGTGGGGGGCATCAGAAATGGAGAAAGAGAGGAAGAAGAGTGAGCGCGATGCTGCAGCTTTAAACAGAATGACAGAGTTGAAGCCTCTAAAAATGCGCCCTCTACTATGAGGCAGGAGAACTGCGTACCTCAACTACCTCAGGATTTTTTAGGCTTTTAACCCTCTGCTCGAGTGCCTAAAAAGTCAGACTAGATGAGGCATGCAGTTCTCCTGCCTCATAGTAGAAGGTGTGCCTCCCCTGCCTCCCCTGACTGCACGACACTGTCTGAATAAGCCCCTGCAATTTTCTTGGCAATTTTGTTTGGGAAGTAGTTTGCCCTTGTCTTCTTCCTAGGGCTGAAGAGAGAGTGACTGGCCCAAAGTCACCCAGCCATCTTTGTACCTCCTGTGAGTCTAGAATTCAGTCAGTTCAGTGGTTTCTAATTTGATGCCTTCACTCCTATACCACTACTCTTTTTAGCCTGAGAGATGCTCAAATATTTGACAACATTACTTCTCTGGATCTTTTTAGTTTCATGGCTCTGCTGCTTAAATGCGTGGAAGTGAGACCTACTAGCAATGTAGACTTTTCTTTTAGACTGTCATTGATACTTATACATGTTTGTGGGTTGCATTTTTACATTTGCTCCTGTTGATATGTATAATCAACAACTACAGTATTTTATGAATGTGTCCCTTCCTTCCTTCCTTCCTTCCTTCCTTCCTTCCTTCCTTCCTTCCTTCCTTCCTTCCTTCCTAAACTTGTGGACATTTTAAGTAGAAATCTACCAGCATAGGTTAATGGATGATGTTGCCTGCCCTAATTTTGAATAGGTCTATTTGGCTCTCAAGCCTTAATTGATTTACTAGCTGTGCATTGAGAGTGAAAAATGTAAGCCTGGGGTGAATTTCCTTTTCAAGGGCAGAACTGTAGGAGAATTAGCCATCTGTCTTTTTTAAAAAAATCAACCAGCACTATTATATAAACCCAGATTCAACACTTATGTCTGTCTGAAGAGAAAAAAACAACAAAAATACAACAAAAAAAGCTAAACATTTGTTTCATCTACGCTTCTCCACTTCTTTCCACACTGGCATATTTTTATATAACATTTGCAATTTTACTTTTTTATGTATTTTGAAAAACAAATGCAAACATAAAGGTCTTGTGCATTACAAAGAGCTGTGCTGGTGCAGTGGTTAGAATGCATTATTGCAATCTAACTCTGCCCACAGCTAGGAGTTCAATCCTGATGGGGCTCAAGGTTGACTCATCCTTCCAAGGTTGGTAAAATGAGGACCCAGATTGTTGGGGCCATATGCTGACTTTGTAAACAGCTTAGAGAAGACTGTACAGCACTATGAAGTGGTATATAAGTCTAAGTGCTATTGTTATTGCTACTGCTATTTGGGCATAATGGTAAACTATGTTATGAGGGAAATAAATATTAGACTTCTCTCTAAATCTCAAGTTTCCCTCTGCTTCAGAAAAGCTATCAGGATTTCATTTAATCAACCTCTAAAGTCACCTGGACAGTGATTAATTTTAGAGCTGTTTTGTTCAATACAAGTCAGATTAATAAATCACAATTTAAACTGGTGTAACCACAGTATGAAGTTGAGCTGGCTGCTTTTAGGCTAAACATCCTTAATTCAGACAGCATGGCAACCTGCAGTTAGTCTACAGTACAAGTGAGCCATATAGTTTGTTTCATTGCTTGAGTGGTAACTTTGATCATTTGTTGACAACTGCTCCAGGTTTGAGATGGCATCAAGCTAATACTTGAGAGACCGCCTTCTGTCGATTACCTCCCTCCGTCCCATCAGATCGCACAGATTGGGCCTCCTCCGAATCCCATCCGCCAGTCAGTGCCG